CAAGAACAGATTTCTTCAGACAATCACCGTGACCCAGAACATCTCTTATCTAACAGTCCTTCTGCTATTTCTGAGCAGAACCAAAAAGTCAAATTGATTTTATCCAAATAGGAAGTGTGTAGAGGAAAAGCCAGGTCTTAGACTGAAAGAATTGGGAAAGCAAACAAAAAAATCTGGGTTTGTGTAGTTTAGTAGAAGAGTACCTGTCTATAGTGCATGCGCCATGAATTCCATCACCAGCACTGAAACACAAACACACACACACACACACTTTTAATCCCTCCCTACTGCTACTTTGGAAGTAACAGCAGCACCTATGAAAACAAAGTACATTTATGAAGCCAAGAACAGTTTGAGTCAAGGACAAAGAGCTGAAGCCCTGGAACAAAGGCACAAATCCCATGAAGAAAAATGGTGAAAGCCGGGCAGTGGTGACTCGGGTCTCTAATCCCAGCACTCAGGAGGCAGAGGCAGGTGGATCTCTGTTCAAGGACAGACTGAGTTCAAGGATAGCCTGGTTTACAGAGAGAGTTTCAGAACAGCCAGGGCTACACCAAGAAGCTCTGTCTTGAAAAAACAAGAGAGGGGCGGCAGGGGGTGTGGGGGCAGTGTCTCCACCACATGGCCAGGAGACCTGATAAAGCCATGGAAATCCTCACCAGGTTCCCTGTACTAGGCCTGTGTGCCTAGTGATCTGCAAAGCCAAGTTTACAGAACAGGCCTCTCTGTTGCCCACATAAAGGAAGGAAGAAGCAGTGGGAATGGACTCAGGGTGGCAGGGAGCGGCGAGAGCTGGAGGAGAAACTTCCTACCCCAGTCATCACCCAGAGGAACATGGTGGCAAAGGCAGCAATCAAACAAACCCTTCTGCTTACTTACATTATACATTTTGGCTTTATTACAATATATTTTGGGGCATAAAAAGAAATGGGTAGTACTAATTGTTTTGTTTATAGGGATCAGGGTAGCTTGGGGGCCAAAAGGGTAAGGGAAACTTCCCTGAGTATCCTTTTAGGTCTTTGAAATTTTGCAATTTGAACCACATGAATAGATCACCTAGTCAAAAAAAAGAAAGAAAGAGAAAAAAGCAAGGAAGGGCCAGGAAGACGGCTCAGTGAATAAAGGTACCTGCTGCCAAGCCTGGAAACCTAAGTTCAATCTGCAGAACCCACAGAGTCAAAGGAGAGAAGGGCCTAGAACAAGGGCCTGCTGCTGCACAAGTGCACACACACATACATTAATAAAAATATTAAGAATAATAAATTTTTAAAACATAATTTTTAAAAAGCCAGAGAAATCTGAAATGCTTTCAAGCATATCAAGTTTTTCAATAACCTCCCAAGCAGGTGCATCATTTAGTCATTCGTCCCATTTCAGAGATGAAGAAGCCTGAGACCCCAAGAAAGAACTCAATCTGAAGGACCAAAGTAATAATGCCCAAGCCTTCAGACTTGTGGCTCGTGTTCTTATTTAGACTCTCCAATCAGAGAGACACACGCTACATCCAGTCTCAGACCAACAGGACACTTCAAATAACCATTTACAAAGGCAGCAGCTTGTGTGATCTGACTGGGCTATTTTTTCTTAATCTATTGTCTGTCTATATATGACATGTGTACGTCGAACATGCATTCATACAGAGGTACACATATGCTATGACATGTGTGGAGGTCAGGGGTCAACTCTCAGAAGTCAGTTCTCACCCTCTACCCCGAGTTCTAGAATCAAACTCAGGCAGCCAGGCCTTTTACTTGCTGAATCATCTGACCGCCCCTGGAGTGGAGCTATCTCAGTGTCCCTATTAGCTGATAAACACCCTGAAATATTCTGGTGTCAACTCTTATTATTAAAAACATTTATAAGATTCCTAGGCATAAAAACTGGTTGTGGTGTTACATACCTGTGGTCCCAGCACTTGGGAAGTAGAAGCAAGAGGATCAAGAGGTCAAGGGTATCCTTGACTGCATACTGAGTTCGAGGCCAGCTCAGACTACATGAAGCACTATCCTGGAAAAAACAAAACAAAACAAAAACAGAGAAGAGCCAGTCAGTGTTGGTGCAGACCTTTAATCTCAGCATTCTGTGAGTTCAAGGCCAGCCTGGTCTACAGAGCGAGTTCCCCAGAACAGGCTCCAAAGCTAGAGAGGAACCCTGTCTTGAAAAAGAAAGAAAAAAGGAAAGAAAGAAAGACAGACAGAGAGAGAGAGAGAGAGAGAGAGAGAGAGAGAGAGAGAGAAAGAAAGGAAGAAAGAAAGGAAGAAACAAAGAAAAAAAGAAAGAAAGGAAGGAAAGAAAGAAAGGAGAGAAGAAAAGAAACAGAAAGGGAGGGAAAAATCTCAAGAGTGTACTATGGTCTCAGTGAGTGCAAAGGTTCATTAGGTTCATTGGGTTCATCGGCTTCAGAACTTTGGGGCCACCTTTCCAGGCGCAGAAGAAATCAGAAAGTCAGCACTGAACCCAGAAGCCAGTCAAATCCAGAGTTCAAATGCTGGTTTTGCCCCTCAGTTACTGGAGACTTCAGGTAAACCAGCTACTTTGGTTTTCCTGAGTTACTGGTGACTTCGGGTAAGCCAGCTACTTCACTGTTCCTGGCTTCCCCTTCCTCTATAAACATTAACCAGTAAACAGGCATACAGTGAGCAGCATGTGTCTGCCTCTGGCCAGCTGGATCGCCGTGTCCTTAAGGAGCTTATCTTCAACAGGAAGAGGCAAACAACTAGGTGAGTTCACATTTAGGTGAGCGCTACAGGCACATAGACAACAGAAGGGAAAGGCCTGGGAGGTCAGGGGAGGACTCTGAAGGAAAGCAGTATTCATGGCAGAACCTGGTAATAAAACATCAGTTATGCAGGGATCTCAGAGCACAGAATGACAAAAGGGGGAAAGATGCAAAGGTGGTGGCAGGAACAATCTCGGCCTCTCTAGAGAAGAGGGCTAAGAGGAGAGAGGGTGGGGCTGGAGACAGAGACCCGTCTCCTCAAGGAGGATGGTACAGTGCTTGTAATGGGAAATAACTATAGAAAAAGAGAACTTGATTGGCTCTGTCATTTTCAAATGTCCATTCTGGCAGAACTCTCTAAACAAATAAGTAAAATTGAAACACAGAACTGAATAAAAATGGTTTTGCTCTGACAACTGAAACACAGAACAGAATAAGATGGTTTTGTTCTGACATGTTAGCAAGTAAAGCTTCTGCCTTCTTGGCCTTCACTTCAGGGTACTTCCAACCTCTGCAGAGCTGGAACAGCAGGTGGCCTGTCTCTAGGGTTCCCCAAACTCTTACAAAGCCCAGATGAGATGGGAGACAGGCATACTGGTAGAGCTTCCACACTCAGCCCCAGCACCACAAAAAGAATTAACTATAACAATGCCCTCTGGTCTATAAAACATACCCATTAAACAGCTGCCTCACAAGAGCTTCTGAAAAGGACAAGCATAGCATACACAACTCTGCCACTCACAGGCCCACCAGATTGCCTCCGAAGAGGAAAACCTGGAGTGACCATAAGGAAAAGAAACAGCAAACTGCACAGTCCTGTATTGCATAACCTAAGTTCAAGTGCACAGTCCAGCCAGGCTGCACTGGGTGACGGGTTATCTCCACAGGTAAACAGGAATACTGCCCCCTCCTTGACTAGTCAGCACCGGGCTCCACACACCAGGCCCAGGCCAACAGCTTTCCAGAAGGGAATGTCTCCTTCTGCTTCTGTTCTCCACACTGCACTTTGAATGCTGACTGCTGGCATTATCAGAGGGCACAAACTTGACTATGGTCAGACTCCACCCATGTTGGCCCTTCCCTGGCCACCTGCTCCGAAGGGATGGCCCAGAACAACTAAAGTGCCTGCCTGCACCTGGCCCTTTTTCACCTCACAGAAAAACAGACCGAAACCTTGCAGGAAAACCTCTAGAGGCACATAAAAATGACTGTAGACTTTCCTTTTTCTACACGATGGGACAGGAGAGAGGCAACACCCAGAAATTATCCCAACTTTATAGAAACAAAGAGCTAAATATCCCAGCCAAGGGCAACAGAGGGCAGGCCTACAGTCACCCAAATAAACAGAGCCACAGCAGCAAGAGGGTCAAAAAAGATTCTCATCCCCGGGCTTCACTTCCTGAAAAAAAAAAAGAGGGCAGTACTTTAAAGCTGCCTTGAAGATCCTTGTGAAGCTGAAACCATGAAAAATGGCAAAGGGTTTCTGTCGGACGCGATTCGGGCAAGTTACCAGTTACTTGTGTGAGTTACCAGTTACCAGTTACAAGTTACCAGTTACAGAGTGCTTGTGTGAGCAAGAACAAAGCTGTGTCCTGTCCAGGATGCTGCTGATCGGGAGGGCAGCCACCTAGGTTAAGAAACTGATTTCATTCATCCCAAATATTATTTATCACATCATTGCCAGGACATTGTGGCAACCACATCCTGCTGTTTCTGCTGGGGTCATTGCCAAAGTTTGGTTCTCTCCCCCACCTTCCGGTATCTGTGAAGTTTTCAGTTTCTAGCAATCCCCAGCTGGGGAGGCCCCCACCCCCACCCGGCGCTGGCCCTGGTGGAGTCCAGGTCCATAAAGGAGACTCCAGGGAGGCGTGGCCAGGGAGGAAAATTCTGACAAAAAACTTTTGGCCCTCCGGTTCCAGCAGCCACTACTTCCTGGTCCCTCCCGGTCACGGGGATGTCGTTAATCTGGCTGAGTGCTCCCCAGAGGGCCGCGCAGGGAAGGGTCTGTCCCGGCATGCGCGGCGCTCACGGACCGGCCTGCAGGTTGCCTTCCACCGCAAGTTATTCTGGAGGAGTCCCCACGCCGTGAGCACGGGAGCAGGCTTCCTCCTCCAGGCTCTAGCCGCCTACTGTCACCGCTCCCAGAGCCCAAGGCGGTGCTTTCGGACCTGAACCCAGTGAGGACATAAAGGCCCAGGCCCGTTCCGAAAGAAGGGGAAGCTGAAGGACTGGCCAGGAACCGCCCGCCCGGAGCAAAGCAGCGGCCCGCGCCGCCTCCCACCTTGACCCGCTTGCCCTGGATCTCCAGCGTCTTCATGGTGAAGTCGACGCCGATTGTGCTGCCCTGACGCGCGGAGAAGGCGCCGGTCTTGAAGCGCTGCACCACGCACGTCTTGCCCACGCTCGCGTCGCCCACCAACACCAGCTTGAACAGGAAATCGTAGTGCTCGTCCTGATCCCCCGGGCCCGGGCCCGCCATGGCTCCGCGGGAGACCTGGGACGCAGGGGCCCGGTTTGGGCTTACGACAGTCACGGGCCGAGGTCCGTGCGCCCTAGCCGGCCGACCGCCTGACTACGTGGAGCCGCCGCAGCACCTGAACGGGCTGCGCGGCTGACCGG